ACTGCACTTATGCAATGTTGTAAAATATTTTACAGTAAGGACACTCAAACCATGACTACTTGACATTATTTTGTACATTTTCTTGACAATTAGAATAGAAGGCTCTTCATATAATGTATGGTGTTTGCATTTTTTAAGTGCAAAAACACCTAATACTCTTGTTAAAAGGAAGAGCCCACATTCTATGGTCACGAGAAAATGTACAATAAAATAGCAAGTGTTCAGTTTGAGTGTCCAGGCTGTAGTTGGGTTTGTAACTGGGGGAATTTACATGTATTTCCGAGGGAGGAGGCTTATGAATGACATAAAGATTAAACATTCATGTGCGATGTATTCTCAATAAGCTTTAGGTTATACAGTGTATATGGTACTTGTTTAAATTCATGACTGATTGATTGATTGATTCTCATAATAGATTGTCACTGGTTTTATTGGCAGTGGATTAAAATACATTGTTTCTCATTTCTTTTAGGAGTGGATACAAAAATCAGATTTTCCTTCATCCCTCAAAGTGGAAAGAAGGCCTTTAAACAGGTAAGATGGCTTTTTCGATTGGTTGTTCAATGACATGCCTGATCACTTGTTGCATTGTTTTTGTGACTCACCCTTCGTAGCTCTTTTTATTCAGACATGGTTGCCTCAAACTGTCACTCAGATTTCAAAGCAGTTCATTTCCTTTTAAATTAACTTATGATGTTATCTTTACTTGTGAATCTTTAAAGACATTTGCACGTATAGGCCACTGTCTACCAGTGGCCTACATGTATAATGTACCTTGAGTTCATTATCTTAGTTTCCTTCATACTGTTCCTTCAGGAATGAAGGTAGGCTTGATTTCTGCTGCTCTCTCAAGTCAGGAAACATTCCTTCCTGAGAAGAGACAGCTGGACACATGAGCAACCAAGCATGTCTGTGATGTAAATTCATAATTTAATGCAGCACTTATGGCCACCAGAAATGTTATCTTACATGTACAACAGTCGATCATAGACAGGCCCACATCACCCCTGTGGCTTGTAACATTTTCCGATTTGCCATGCTCTTTTAAATTTAGTCTTCCAACCTCATGTTGTTTCATATTATTGCTGCAGAAGGGTATTATACGCTGTGTTCTAAGGTAGAGTTACAAGTTGAACAGAGCCATTCAACTGTGGTGTAGCAAATTTCACAAATGTATTGTCGCAGTTTGATTGGTTCATACTTATGATCAATTTGTGAATTTGACATCACTAGTTAGCATTTTTTGTTTTGTTATTATGTAAAACAAATAGATTCCATGTTGCTTTGTGTCTGTTCAGTAATTGATTGAATGTTGCTAACACACAAATCCTGAATATCACACAACTTCATGGCTACGTTGAGAAAGAATAATCTTATGCAACCTGCCTGACTCGTGCAGGCACATTTCTGATTGGTGTAAATTAACAATTTCAGGCTCATGCATCTGCATGTAGCTCTGCGCCTTCAGGGAAGGAGCGTGGGCTTCTTTTCCAAACAGTGGCTGGTAATCAAGCCTAAAATAATTATAGGGTCAAAACATACTTTAGGGGTTTTACATGGTGTACACTACTTAGTTAATATTCCTTTCTGGAGTCTAAGCCACTGTGAGTTTGGTTTGTTTGGTCAGGGACTTTTACCAATCAGCAGCAGCCCTTGCAAAGTATTTTGTGCAGAGGAACCCCGCTTGATGGACACCTTGTTGTGCACAGTTTTGTTTGTCTCAACAAAAAGCTTGCTCGTATTCTCTCTTACTTTAGCCGGCTTAATGTGGATAATGGTTAATATGGACAACAGACACTTAAATGTGAACTGAAAGAAATGCTCCCATACAAAGTTGACCTTGTTCTATGGACAACAGTTATCTTGTGCCTTTGTACATACTGTACATGTACATAAAGTATATGTCAAGATTGAGTGCACCATCAGAAAATGAAAGCTTTCCACAGGTTACTTAATACATTTCATTACTAAATACATAAAGTAGCATGACAGCATGAATGTCCCATCTTTCTTCTGGTGTTTTGATCCCTTGAAACCTCGAGTATGAGGCATGTGATTACTGTATTGATTGTTGGGCTTCTTCGGCTCTTCGGTTACATTTTAAGATCCAAAAATTTGTTCTGTTTCCTTTAATATTGTAAATTTTGTATGTTTTAGTCCAGTGTCTATGTTTCAATAAAACACGTGTCTGTGGCATTTATTCTGACAGCCCATATAAAAGGACACTTGAGCATATCTCCTTGGTGTCTGTTTAACTGGGTGTACTGTAGTAGGGGCTGAAAGGGAGGGAGGGAGCATGAACTTGTGAATTAATTTTTTTTGTCTTTGAAAGAATTATCTTTGGTAGCAAATGGTTTTATTTAACAGTTAATAAGTTAAAATTGTTATTATTTTAAAAAAATATCCCTCTACTCCTTATTGAATTATCTGTCTCCTCTCACATTTGACATTGTTTCTTCACATACAATCATTGTTAAACTAAGTGTTTATTATTCTTCTTAGTGGCTTGCTGCTTTCAAAGCCATTGCTAGGCAAAAGGAAGGTGTACCATCACAGTGGAGAAGAAGGGTAAGTTCATTATTTATTTTCTGTTCATACACGTACTGAACTGGTGTGTGACACAGACACAAAAAAACTGGGGACTGAACTTGGGTGTGACACACAAAAACTGGGGATATTTCGTATAACTCAAGGTAATTAGAATTTAATGGAACCTAGCCCTCATTCTTGTGGGAGACACAGTGACTTGCAGTGCATAAGACTCTGGAACAAGGTTCAAGGGCTGGCCATGTTCATGGTGTTGTGCTCTAATAGACAAGATGCTTAACTCTTACAGTACCTCTCACCACCCAGAAGAACTGGCAAACAATTCTGGTACACCAGCGTGACAAAATTCTGGCCAGGGAATAGCGGACAATTGACTAATACCCCTAGTTGCTGCGTCGCTGCATGCTACAGTACTTACGGTACATGACCTTGATAAGCCCCTGCTGTGTTGGCCAATTCCTAATACCTCCGTGTTCTTAAACTGCTTAACTTTAATTTGTTATAAAAATGATTAATTAAAGAGAACTTAATCCTCAGTTTATCACTTTTTCAGGATTTAAACCTGCAGCTAATAGCTTTGATGTTTATTGATAGTTGATGAAGGTTTTTTTAATGTCACCTTCATTTTCCAAGGCTTAATAGCCTAAAAGGGATATTTTTCAATACCGGTATTTATCGTTAGATCATTAGAACGGTTTTGAATTGAGTGCCATAAAACCAAAACCAAAACCAAAATACTCAATCACTCTAGCCAATCACAAAGGACACAGACAATCCAATGAACCAATCAAAAAATGAAGCAATAAGATGTACATAAAGCTGTATGCAAAGGTTGGGAAAACCAGTGTAAATGTTTGATTGGATCAAAAAGGGGCACAAATTTTTTAAGCCAATTGTTTAGCATAGAGATGCAAAATTTATTACTTTTCAACACTCAAATGTATTATTAGAGCAGTTTTCAATTGAGTGTCATAAAACCAAAACCAAACCAATTACTTACCAATTAGACTACTCACCCAATCTCAAACCATAGTAAAACCAAAACCAAAACCAAAACCAAAGTAATTGTCTAATTACTTTCGACACTCAAATGAAAACCGCTCTAACTACAGTACATGTAATAACTTTCAACCAATTCCTTTCAGCTGTGGTTATGTCTGGCTGAGAGCAAGATAAAGGATTTGGACTGGGAGAAAACAGCCAAGTTTTGTTTTAATGAGAAGAGTAACCCAGATGATGATGATCTGGGATCACAGATAGTCAAGGTGAGGAATATCAGATGAAACACTCATATGTACATGTATCGTCAAAGTTGAAATACAGTGGAGGAGGACAACAGAAGTCAGAACCTTTTTTCGTCCTTACCTTGAGATACTGCACCTGCATAATGCTTTTCAAGTCAGTCAGTCTCTTGGCAAATTTCTGTTTTAAGTTGTGTGTTTTGTAAGTATTTGTGTACAGTTTTTGATAGTCCAGGCAACATCAAAAGTTATAAATTTACCTGCCCAAAGTGCCATTCCTGTATGTAGTCACTGTGAAAAGAAAGTCCTGTGTAATGGCCTGGGGTTAGTGAATTTCTCAGTCATGCAAGTGAATTCATGTTCTTTGCTTGCCCGATGGGCAAGTAAAGTTTCTTGGGAAAAGTTTTGAAGGAATTCAAATTACCGGTACAGAAATACTGTGAGAGATGAAATTTTTGGGGGGCTAGTTAGAATAATGTTTGGGCTAGTACATCATGGTAAGAGCTTGCCTGAATGACCTGCCCAGAAATTGGTTTTCTTTGCACCCTGGTAGGGCAGCGTGTGTCTGTCAGTTATTTGTTTTAACATCATGTGTATTGATCATGGACACACAGCATCCTTGCAACCATTACCTGCAGGTAAATGCTATTTTAAGGTATTCATCAGCGGGACAAAGGCTGTGGGAGAAGTTGGAAGTATACCTCTTCTTGTAGGCTTATAATTCTGTGTCATCTGTCATAGTGTACATTTGGCTACTGTGATTGTTTCGAGTCTAGGGCCATTGTGTCTGTTGTTTGGTCTTTTGTTCTCTCAAAGGGTATGGAGCCATTCATGTGAGACCTAGTGAGAGCTCCTACTCAACCCAGAGAAGTCTGGTGTGAGATATATAATCTCTTCCCAGGGGTTGCCAGTCCCTTGGGTTGCATGAGTCTTTCTTTTTTTGGGCTTGGTACATGCACCTCTGAAGGTGCAGTGCCCTCAAGGGTAACGCACTCGCCTCTGGATCAAGCAGTCCAGGTTCGAGTCCTGACCAGGGGTGTTTTAGGCAAGATGCTCTACTCTCACAGTGCCTTTCTCCATCCAGGTGTATAAGTGGATACCAGCAAATTTAATGCTGGTTGTAATGCTACGATGGACTAGCATCCCATCCTCAAGGGAGTCGAAATGCTCCAAAAACCAGAGATAAGCCCTGGCCTGACGGGCCACTTGGCTCATATGCAGACTTTGTCTTTGTTACTTTTCTCATGCATTGTAATTAAACCTTTGACTTGTGTAGGATCTCCATCGCACCGGCTGTAGCTGGTTTTGTGGTCAGGACACTCCAGAAGAGAGAGCCTCCCTGAAGCGAGTTCTGTTAGCCTATGCCAGGCGTAACAAGGCTGTGGGTTACTGTCAAGGGTTCAATGTCATTGCAGCGTTGATTCTTCAAGTCATGGAAAGAAACGAGGAAGATGCACTGAAGGTAAGTTTGCCTATAAAATCTCCTTACTAGTCTCCATACGTCTTCATCAGTACTATTTGGGAGAATTTAATGCAGAATACGCAATGGCCTATTAATGGTTAGTGCGCAAGTTGAACTCTGGATTGAGCAGTCCAGGTTCGAGCCCAGGCCAGGGTCATTGCTCTGTATTCTTGGGCAAGACACTTTACTCTCACAGTGCCTTTCTCCATGTAGGTGAGTATAAATGGGTACTGGGGAATCTAATGCTGGGGGTGACCCTGCAATGGAAGAGCATCCTATTCAAGGGAGAAGTTTTAAGAGTATTTAAAAATACTCTTAGTTGCTTCCTGTTACAGAAACCGGAGATAAGCACTAACCCGATGGGTCACTGTGCTTGAATGCAGACTTTATCATTACCTAATGGTCCATACTGGTTCTAGTCATCAAATAAGACCACTCTTGTCTCCAACAGGAATTTTTGTAGTTGAGCGCAAGTGCCATCGCTAGGATGAATCATTACTGTAAGCTGTGATAAATGTTAAGGCTATGTGACTGGTCAAGATTAAGACTTTTACACAATGTAGCATATGCTTTCTTCTTTAGGTCATGGTTTACGTCATTGATCACGTGCTACCCACCAACTATTTTGCAAACAATCTGCGCGCGTTGTCTGTCGACATGGCGGTGCTCCGTGACTTGATGCGAGCGAAGCTGGAGAGGCTTTCCAAGCACCTAGACAGCTTACAAGCGCAAGCTTTGTCACAGAATGGTTCAAACGCCATGTATGAACCGCCCTTGATCAACGTGTTCACCATGCAGTGGTTTCTAACACTGTTTGCGACATGTCTGCCCGAGGAGACTGTGCTTCGCGTGTGGGATTCTATTTTGTTGGAAGGCTCTGAGGTGCTTCTAAGAGCTGCTGTTGCTATCTGGGGTAAACTGGGAGAGTAAGTGTCAAACCATGCTTTGTTAGTCAGTGAGTGAGTGAGTCAGTCAGTCAGTCAGTCAGTCTGCGAGTCAGTCAGTGAGTCAGTCAGTGAGTCAGTGAGTCAGTGAGTCAGTCAGTCAGTCGGTCGGTCAGTCTGTCAGTCAGCGAGTCGGGCAATCATTCAGACAGTCAGTCAGTCAGTCAGTCAGTCAGTCAGTGAGATAGTCAGTCAGTCAGTCAGTCAGTCAATCAGTCAGTCAGTCGGTCAGTCAGTCAGTCAGTCAGTCAAACTACTTTCGAAAACTTTACAGTTCATATAACGTACATATTATCAGATAGTTTTTTCCCTGAGATTTGGACAGGTAGAGGCTATTTTCAGGAGATAGACTTGTTTGCATTGTTGTTAGCGAAAAAAAAAAAAGAGAAAGTTCGCCTTAAATCGTCACGCGATCTTAAATAGGTTGTTACCAATGGAGCTGTTCAAATCTGTCTTTTCTGTCGTGTAGAGTTGATTCCAGAAACTCTTCTTTTTTCTCTGATATACTAGAAACCCTTAAAGACACAAGTAAAAGTAACCGTGCACGAACGCGCCATAAAACATCTGTTTTGAGCTTGCGTGCGTATCAGTGAACCATAAGTGCTAATATTAAACCATCTTTAAATTAAGAGGCTCGCTATCTCTCCCACAGGCGCCTCGAGGACGTGGAGACTTCAGACGACTTTTACAGCACAATGGGTTTACTTATACAAGACGTTTTGACTGGAAATGTCATAGATTGTCAAACATTAATGCAGGTAACGTGAGTCATATGAAAATTTCCATGAAAGCGTCATTTTTGTTTGTCCAGGTTTTGGCTTGTCAGCCTTTTTTTTGTTTACTTAAGTTTTAAACGTATTGAGAATTCGTTACTTTCATGTTGATGCAATCAGTAACCCATAATATTTAATATATGAGCTTGTGGTCAAAAATAGCATTTTAGTTGTCCAGAATCGGCAATTTTCTAAAATTGTTCACGCACTCGGTCAGTAACGAACGTTTACGGAAGATTCGATTGGTACTAGAGCTTGGTTCGGAAAGTGCTCGTTCACATTCGTCAGGCATTCGGATTGAAACAAAGAACCTTTGCGGAAGAGCTTTGCGGAAGAGCTTTGCGGAAGACGATCGGTCTTCAGTTTTTGTGACTTTCAGCCTGCATTCACAGTAAAAGTAGAGGTCTTGGCAAAAAGTTTAATTTTTTTCCTGTTGTCTACTTAACCGAGTGGTTATTTGGAAGGTTTGCCGAATCAAGTAGTCTTGACCGACAAGATTTACTGTGCAGCACAATGACTTCTCGAGCCGTGTGCATTTTGTTACATTTCCTAGCCGTCTTTTGCAAAACAAACTGAAATAACTGAATTATTAATTTGTACCCCTCAGTTTGTTTTCTTTTGATGTATTTTCTCGAGAACGTCAACCGTGACTATTGAATTTTCCTTGTTCCACTGAATTTCAACGCTTATGTTTTTTAATTCTACCAAAGCACAGCTGTGACGCCGTGAAGACACAAGCCAAATTTATCTACATACATGTAATTGCGAAATACTTCATTTTGTGGAGTTTGAATCTATTGTTTTTTACCCTCGGGGTCTGGACTGTGGTTACTTAAATCCTCGCCTCTCCTGAATATTTACACTGAGAGGACTGATAATACGTTTTTGGCAGACTTTACTTTCGGAAATTACTGTGGGTGTGTTCTGTTAAACAGGGACCAAAAACACTAACGAGTATTGAGCGGGGTTTGACTATGCTGCAATTGAAGTAAACTTACCTTGTGTTTGTAGGAGGTGTACGCTCTGGCGCCGTTTCCTTTACCAGGCTTAGCAGAGCTTCGAGAACAGTACACTTATAACATCAATCCGTTTTCGGATGCTTCCGGCGATAGGAACCCGCGATCAGCACTGGGGCGCGGTTCAAGTGACGAAGAAGAGGACGTTGACGACCTGGAAGGAGTCGGTTGTCTAGGGGCTTTGTTACCATTCTCGGAATTTGCCCCTGGCAACGGGATCAAGGCCTTAGGTCCTGGCGATACGGATGTGAATGACATAGCAGCTGCTAGCCCTGGTGTGTTTGCTACTGACGGATATTCGCCGCTACCTTACACTACAAAGCAGTTCGGGTCTAGAGGAAGTCGAGTTCACGAAGAGATGTCTTACTTGCAGAAGCAGTATGCCAGGATGCGGCAAATGCAACAGAATGCTGTAGTAGTGTTTTCTGAGGCTACAGTGCAAAATATACAGGAATCCGAAAAACGAAAGAGCATCCCTGCCGCTATAAACCATCTGCTTGTCTCGGCCACTAAGAAGAAGATTAAAACTGCTAGAGGTCATTTTGGGGTTAAGAAAGGAAACGAAGCGAAAACCAGCGAAAGGCTGAGTGTTGATGATGCGACGGTTAATCACAAAGGTGAGGCGAAGCTTGAAGTGAAACCGAATGCTTACGAGAAGGAAAGCATGCAGCATTTGAACGAGTTGTTCAAAGGAGATCAGAAAGAACGAAAAGAGGTCAGACAGATCACAGAGGAGGAACACCCTACAAAGACTGCTATTAAAGATGTCGAAACTGCTAGTAAAGAAGTAGAAACTGCAAGTAAGGAAGTCGAAACTAAAAGGACAAAGGAGAAGTTTTCAAGTGAAAAGCAAAACGAAGAGAAGAAAGATCGAGTTGTGGATGAAAAACCAGCTAAAAAGGACAAGAAAGTCACGCCGTTAAACACGCGTAAAATCCAACATGTCGGATTAAACGGCGAAGTATCATCGTTAGAAACTGGAAAATCCAAGAAAAATCCGTCTGTAGTATTCGGATTCAATTCTGGTCGTAAACCGCCTAAAGTTACGGTTGTGGAATCCTCATCATTGAAAGTGACCGCCGCGAACAATGAAACGCCTCTAAGACCTGTGAAGGTCGTGGACAGAAAGAGCGCTTCTGTTCTCGATACGGGTGCGGGTACCTTCAGTGGTACCGGACGGGTGTTTACCCGCTCGAATCACGGGTCGAGTAACTCTAACAACAGTTCGTGGCTAATGGAGGAAGACAAGAGATGTAAATATCCCGATAACTTCAGACCATTTCCTCAGCGAAACAAGCAACCGAGCAGAAGCCGGATTCTTTACGGTAACTTGTCGGACAAAGGTGCGAAGCGAATGGACGCATTTCAGAGCAGAAAGGAAACTCGACAAGGTTTTAACGGAGTTGCTGTCAATGGGACAACAGATAGCAAACGAAGTTAGCCTTAACATTACTTTTGCTGACTTTTGAATGAAATCACGAAATTTTATCAACGAACGTAACTCAAAAAATGATCTCTCGCACAGTCGAAGGAGCGAACATTCGGAGTTTCCGTAATGCTTCCGTTCGGAGAACGAGCGAGAATCGGAAACTCTTCGAGTCCGATGATTCGCTACACGTGACGTGACTTTCGGACCGCCCGTGCTACTTCCGATTTGACAACTAGAATCGTTAACTCTTCGGCTGCGACAATTTACAAAAAACGGCATGAGATGTAACCTGATCCTCGTAGGAAAAGATGGCGCCTGCACATTTTACTACAATACCATGCGAGCATCACCACTGAGGAAAGCCATATTTTTGCGATATTTCTCGCCGTGCTAACGACACTGTATATGTTAGGTTTGAAGATTTTGGAACTTTTCTGTACGTTTTTATGGGTGTTGTTTAAGTTTTCGAGCGCTAGGTATTTTTGGTAAATGAACCAGTCGCCATCCTTTTTCCTACCGAGGATTAGAAACGATAATTTTTATTTAAGTAGTGTTCGGTTACTATGTTGTCCGTAAATGGCACTCGTTCCGGAGACTGTGCATAGGTCGTTGTTGTAAGGCGTTTACAGGCAAAATGTGAAAGTTCATCGCAAGCATACTCAAACGAAAATCGTGTTATCATGAGTAGAAGCCGGAAATGGTTTTTATGTGACAACCCGAACTAACAGACAAAGTTGGATAGCGAGAGAACGGAAAAAAAGAGTTGAGAAGTAGAATTTATGATTAGTTTCCACAACAACCAGAATTAACACAATAATTATCCTAAAATATTTTATAATGTACCTTAATCATTCAAAGATAAATTAGAATGTCATAACTTACATATATATAAATCATCAATTCAGTGGTATAGGATGGGAATTACATTTTCGACGGGGGGGAGATTCTGACTGAAATTTTCAGAACTTTGAACATTTTCTGCTGGTTACATGTTAGTTAGTTTCATTCTTTTCCCTCATTCTTTATACTCGGCAGGAATTTTTCTTTTCATTTGTTGCTCTCCTTCCTCAAAAATGCAATGGTCCATCCTTCATTAAAATTGGAGGGCCATATTTTTTAGGGTAAAACAATTTTCATGTCACATCTGTGGGTTACTATATGTATAAAATAGTGAAAATTATTGTAAAATGAGTATATTTTTGGAGGCCTTTGGAACTCTTTCATGCCTTTTATGCCTTATGCCCATGTATATCTCATGTATTTAAACTGTAATTGAAAATATATTTAAAATAGGCCTTATCTTTAAGGTGCTAGTATTTAAGGGCTCGGTTAATTAGAATATTGAACATTACTTGAGGTGTGTTTCATCTGTGACTTAGGCTTTCTTATCGCGAGTGTTCACACGACTTCACGGTGGCCATATCAGTGTACCGAATCAATGAAAAGGCGGCCATGTTGGGCGCCGAAGGAATTTGAAAACGGAGTTTTCACTCTGAGAACAGTTAAAATGTTTTCGTCTGCACTACGCCGGAGAAATTTGATTTGTAATTTTATAAGATGTACATGACATATTTATTCCTAGATGACAAACGTGAAGAAATCAAAGGCTAGTATGGAAAAGACTGTGTGAAAGAATAGGACTCAGAAGGACATAAACCGAAAGTCAACAAACTGAACTATTTCATTGGTTTAGAAAAGATAAAATAAAAATTTACCTTGAAATAATGTGAGAGTGTGATTATGTTCATTGCCGAAATTATTTCAGTTGCGTCTTTTGCATCAGTGTAATGAACTGTGTTAAAGAAGTTTTAAATGCTTACACATCATTTAAATGCTTATACATCTCCCTGAAAAGGGTGAGAAGTTATCGCGAAGCTGGTCAAGTACATAATAGTGTTCTCGAATCGTAAGAAGCCCCTTGGCCATCAGCGAGGTTTCTCTTAATCTGAAATAATTGAGCGATAATTCAACGTCTAATAGCACGGATAAGATTCGCGACTGCATTCTTGTTCCGTGCTTTCGATCATTTCTGTGAGTGGATTACAATAATCCGTTGAAAATTCCCGCAAAGGCGTCTTGTTCCTCGTGATCTTTTTCACAACTAGAAAAGGAAAGCAACAATTAAGAAGTATTAGATGGCCTTGAGTTAGCCATACAGCACTCTTGATNAGTCAGTCAGTCAGTCAGTCTGCGAGTCAGTCAGTGAGTCAGTCAGTGAGTCAGTGAGTCAGTGAGTCAGTCAGTCAGTCGGTCGGTCAGTCTGTCAGTCAGCGAGTCGGGCAATCATTCAGACAGTCAGTCAGTCAGTCAGTCAGTCAGTCAGTGAGATAGTCAGTCAGTCAGTCAGTCAGTCAGTCAGTCAGTCAATCAGTCAGTCAGTCGGTCAGTCAGTCAGTCAGTCAAACTACTTTCGAAAACTTTACAGTTCATATAACGTACATATTATCAGATAGTTTTTTCCCTGAGATTTGGACAGGTAGAGGCTATTTTCAGGAGATAGACTTGTTTGCATTGTTGTTAGCGAAAAAAAAAAAAGAGAAAGTTCGCCTTAAATCGTCACGCGATCTTAAATAGGTTGTTACCAATGGAGCTGTTCAAATCTGTCTTTTCTGTCGTGTAGAGTTGATTCCAGAAACTCTTCTTTTTTCTCTGATATACTAGAAACCCTTAAAGACACAAGTAAAAGTAACCGTGCACGAACGCGCCATAAAACATCTGTTTTGAGCTTGCGTGCGTATCAGTGAACCATAAGTGCTAATATTAAACCATCTTTAAATTAAGAGGCTCGCTATCTCTCCCACAGGCGCCTCGAGGACGTGGAGACTTCAGACGACTTTTACAGCACAATGGGTTTACTTATACAAGACGTTTTGACTGGAAATGTCATAGATTGTCAAACATTAATGCAGGTAACGTGAGTCATATGAAAATTTCCATGAAAGCGTCATTTTTGTTTGTCCAGGTTTTGGCTTGTCAGCCTTTTTTTTGTTTACTTAAGTTTTAAACGTATTGAGAATTCGTTACTTTCATGTTGATGCAATCAGTAACCCATAATATTTAATATATGAGCTTGTGGTCAAAAATAGCATTTTAGTTGTCCAGAATCGGCAATTTTCTAAAATTGTTCACGCACTCGGTCAGTAACGAACGTTTACGGAAGATTCGATTGGTACTAGAGCTTGGTTCGGAAAGTGCTCGTTCACATTCGTCAGGCATTCGGATTGAAACAAAGAACCTTTGCGGAAGAGCTTTGCGGAAGAGCTTTGCGGAAGACGATCGGTCTTCAGTTTTTGTGACTTTCAGCCTGCATTCACAGTAAAAGTAGAGGTCTTGGCAAAAAGTTTAATTTTTTTCCTGTTGTCTACTTAACCGAGTGGTTATTTGGAAGGTTTGCTGAATCAAGTAGTCTTGACCGACAAGATTTACTGTGCAGCACAATGACTTCTCGAGCCGTGTGCATTTTGTTACATTTCCTAGCCGTCTTTTGCAAAACAAACTGAAATAACTGAATTATTAATTTGTACCCCTCAGTTTGTTTTCTTTTGATGTATTTTCTCGAGAACGTCAACCGTGACTATTGAATTTTCCTTGTTCCACTGAATTTCAACGCTTATGTTTTTTAATTCTACCAAAGCACAGCTGTGACGCCGTGAAGACACAAGCCAAATTTATCTACATACATGTAATTGCGAAATACTTCATTTTGTGGAGTTTGAATCTATTGTTTTTTACCCTCGGGGTCTGGACTGTGGTTACTTAAATCCTCGCCTCTCCTGAATATTTACACTGAGAGGACTGATAATACGTTTTTGGCAGACTTTACTTTCGGAAATTACTGTGGGTGTGTTCTGTTAAACAGGGACCAAAAACACTAACGAGTATTGAGCGGGGTTTGACTATGCTGCAATTGAAGTAAACTTACCTTGTGTTTGTAGGAGGTGTACGCTCTGGCGCCGTTTCCTTTACCAGGCTTAGCAGAGCTTCGAGAACAGTACACTTATAACATCAATCCGTTTTCGGATGCTTCCGGCGATAGGAACCCGCGATCAGCACTGGGGCGCGGTTCAAGTGACGAAGAAGAGGACGTTGACGACCTGGAAGGAGTCGGTTGTCTAGGGGCTTTGTTACCATTCTCGGAATTTGCCCCTGGCAACGGGATCAAGGCCTTAGGTCCTGGCGATACGGATGTGAATGACATAGCAGCTGCTAGCCCTGGTGTGTTTGCTACTGACGGATATTCGCCGCTACCTTACACTACAAAGCAGTTCGGGTCTAGAGGAAGTCGAGTTCACGAAGAGATGTCTTACTTGCAGAAGCAGTATGCCAGGATGCGGCAAATGCAACAGAATGCTGTAGTAGTGTTTTCTGAGGCTACAGTGCAAAATATACAGGAATCCGAAAAACGAAAGAGCATCCCTGCCGCTATAAACCATCTGCTTGTCTCGGCCACTAAGAAGAAGATTAAAACTGCTAGAGGTCATTTTGGGGTTAAGAAAGGAAACGAAGCGAAAACCAGCGAAAGGCTGAGTGTTGATGATGCGACGGTTAATCACAAAGGTGAGGCGAAGCTTGAAGTGAAACCGAATGCTTACGAGAAGGAAAGCATGCAGCATTTGAACGAGTTGTTCAAAGGAGATCAGAAAGAACGAAAAGAGGTCAGACAGATCACAGAGGAGGAACACCCTACAAAGACTGCTATTAAAGATGTCGAAACTGCTAGTAAAGAAGTAGAAACTGCAAGTAAGGAAGTCGAAACTAAAAGGACAAAGGAGAAGTTTTCAAGTGAAAAGCAAAACGAAGAGAAGAAAGATCGAGTTGTGGATGAAAAACCAGCTAAAAAGGACAAGAAAGTCACGCCGTTAAACACGCGTAAAATCCAACATGTCGGATTAAACGGCGAAGTATCATCGTTAGAAACTGGAAAATCCAAGAAAAATCCGTCTGTAGTATTCGGATTCAATTCTGGTCGTAAACCGCCTAAAGTTACGGTTGTGGAATCCTCATCATTGAAAGTGACCGCCGCGAACAATGAAACGCCTCTAAGACCTGTGAAGGTCGTGGACAGAAAGAGCGCTTCTGTTCTCGATACGGGTGCGGGTACCTTCAGTGGTACCGGACGGGTGTTTACCCGCTCGAATCACGGGTCGAGTAACTCTAACAACAGTTCGTGGCTAATGGAGGAAGACAAGAGATGTAAATATCCCGATAACTTCAGACCATTTCCTCAGCGAAACAAGCAACCGAGCAGAAGCCGGATTCTTTACGGTAACTTGTCGGACAAAGGTGCGAAGCGAATGGACGCATTTCAGAGCAGAAAGGAAACTCGACAAGGTTTTAACGGAGTTGCTGTCAATGGGACAACAGATAGCAAACGAAGTTAGCCTTAACATTACTTTTGCTGACTTTTGAATGAAATCACGAAATTTTATCAACGAACGTAACTCAAAAAATGATCTCTCGCACAGTCGAAGGAGCGAACATTCGGAGTTTCCGTAATGCTTCCGTTCGGAGAACGAGCGAGAATCGGAAACTCTTCGAGTCCGATGATTCGCTACACGTGACGTGACTTTCGGACCGCCCGTGCTACTTCCGATTTGACAACTAGAATCGTTAACTCTTCGGCTGCGACAATTTACAAAAAACGGCATGAGATGTAACCTGATCCTCGTAGGAAAAGATGGCGCCTGCACATTTTACTACAATACCATGCGAGCATCACCACTGAGGAAAGCCATATTTTTGCGATATTTCTCGCCGTGCTAACGACACTGTATATGTTAGGTTTGAAGATTTTGGAACTTTTCTGTACGTTTTTATGGGTGTTGTTTAAGTTTTCGAGCGCTAGGTATTTTTGGTAAATGAACCAGTCGCCATCCTTTTTCCTACCGAGGATTAGAAACGATAATTTTTATTTAAGTAGTGTTCGGTTACTATGTTGTCCGTAAATGGCACTCGTTCCGGAGACTGTGCATAGGTCGTTGTTGTAAGGCGTTTACAGGCAAAATGTGAAAGTTCATCGCAAGCATACTCAAACGAAAATCGTGTTATCATGAGTAGAAGCCGGAAATGGTTTTTATGTGACAACCCGAACTAACAGACAAAGTTGGATAGCGAGAGAACGGAAAAAAAGAGTTGAGAAGTAGAATTTATGATTAGTTTCCACAACAACCAGAATTAACACAATAATTATCCTAAAATATTTTATAATGTACCTTAATCATTCAAAGATAAATTAGAATGTCATAACTTACATATATATAAATCATCAATTCAGTGGTATAGGATGGGAATTACATTTTCGACGGGGGGGAGATTCTGACTGAAATTTTCAGAACTTTGAACATTTTCTGCTGGTTACATGTTAGTTAGTTTCATTCTTTTCCCTCATTCTTTATACTCGGCAGGAATTTTTCTTTTCATTTGTTGCTCTCCTTCCTCAAAAATGCAATGGTCCATCCTTCATTAAAATTGGAGGGCCATATTTTTTAGGGTAAAACAATTTTCATGTCACATCTGTGGGTTACTATATGTATAAAATAGTGAAAATTATTGTAAAATGAGTATATTTTTGGAGGCCTTTGGAACTCTTTCATGCCTTTTATGCCTTATGCCCATGTATATCTCATGTATTTAAACTGTAATTGAAAATATATTTAAAATAGGCCTTATCTTTAAGGTGCTAGTATTTAAGGGCTCGGTTAATTAGAATATTGAACATTACTTGAGGTGTGTTTCATCTGTGACTTAGGCTTTCTTATCGCGAGTGTTCACACGACTTCACGGTGGCCATATCAGTGTACCGAATCAATGAAAAGGCGGCCATGTTGGGCGCCGAAGGAATTTGAAAACGGAGTTTTCACTCTGAGAACAGTTAAAATGTTTTCGTCTGCACTACGCCGGAGAAATTTGATTTGTAATTTTATAAGATGTACATGACATATTTATTCCTAGATGACAAACGTGAAGAAATCAAAGGCTAGTATGGAAAAGACTGTGTGAAAGAATAGGACTCAGAAGGACATAAACCGAAAGTCAACAAACTGAACTATTTCATTGGTTTAGAAAAGATAAAATAAAAATTTACCTTGAAATAATGTGAGAGTGTGATTATGTTCATTGCCGAAATTATTTCAGTTGCGTCTTTTGCATCAGTGTAATGAACTGTGTTAAAGAAGTTTTAAATGCTTACACATCATTTAAATGCTTATACATCTCCCTGAAAAGGGTGAGAAGTTATCGCGAAGCTTGTCAAGTACATAATAGTGTTCTCGAATCGTAAGAAGCCCCTTGGCCATCAGCGAGGTTTCTCTTAATCTGAAATAATTGAGCGATAATTCAACGTCTAATAGCACGGATAAGATTCGCGACTGCATTCTTGTTCCGTGCTTTCGATCATTTCTGTGAGTGGATTACAATAATCCGTTGAAAATTCCCGCAAAGGCGTCTTGTTCCTCGTGATCTTTTTCACAACTAGAAAAGGAAAGCAACAATTAAGAAGTATTAGATGGCCTTGAGTTAGCCATACAGCACTCTTGATATCAATGAAAGAAGTAGTATAGGCAATTGGATGTGCTTGTGAGTGAGCGAATGAGTTTTAAAGACTGCTCACTCTCAAAGGTAGCAAAAAAACCTAAGTAAATAAAAAGAATGGAGCCAGGAGGTCGTATCAACGTCGCACCTAATTGAAATCACCAATCACGTTGAGTCGTTTAATATCTTTCCCTATGCTGCTATTTAGTAGCAAGATTTTCGCGTCCCTTTCAGAAGGGACAGTACGAGTTGAACCAGTTGTCCGTTTGACTGAAATAATTCGAACAGTGATGTGGCATTACGGTTAACTAGAAACTTACCTCTTGAATGATTTGGAAGAGAAGAAAGAAGAAGAGATGGGGCTGAAAGAAAAGGGATAAAGTGTCAACACATGCTTACTCGTTGTACCACTACCATGAGAATGTTACATATATGTCATGAATTGTATTTGGTGAAATGCCTGGCTTTATGGTACATGTTAAGCCTAGTTCACACTAGCGACATGACGCAATAAGGACGTTATGTCGTTAAGTTTGCAGTGTGAACATCCTGACGTAATGACATAACAGCAAGATACATTAACGGCATGAACACAACGACATAAGGAAAACAAATGATACTTTCGTTAATCTTTATGTCCATGTTCACATTACCGTCACTAGTGTGAACTAGGCCTTAGTTGCGTGTGAGTCAAAATTAGTCACATACTATCATTGTGAAAGATTGCAATGGTGCGATCGATACTTGGCATACAACGTCGCACTTAAGGGGAAAACTGTACGCAAGTTACGAAACGTATGGTTACTTAAACAGTGCTGGATTGTCTGACATTCATCACAATAATTGATTTACCTTTGTTCACATCGATTTGTGCTGAAATCGTCGTCGATCATAGGAACGCTTTCTTCTTCTAAGCAAATTGTCTCTTTCATCTCCAAGGGTTCCAACGTGGTTGAGCTCAACATGCTTTGGAGATTTTCGCTGGATTGCTGGTTTGAGCTTGAAGAGTTTCTTCGCTGAAGAGGTTTAGTAAACACGGGCAAAATATCCCATTCTTCTTTCTCTAACCCAACAGGTAGAGGATCGTGTGTTAATGTGCTCCAGTTTTGACGC